TTCAATCATATATCTAAATGGCTTGAGTTAAATAAGCTTTTTCTTAACAGTAAGAAAACTTTTTTTGTTGGACCTAAGAAACTAGGAAGAAACAAAGTATTTAATGCTTTGCAGAACATTTACAGTATCAGTTACAAAAGGTATTTGTTAGAATTTTATTTTGTAGACACAGATTACTTTTTTTTAAAGTTCTGCCATACTCAACATCTTTCCAATCAACAAACTGCAGGTTGTTCAGTTTATACATTGTTATTTCAAACACACTCGTAAAGATTACTTTAGCATGTTTAACATCATACAAAAAGCTGAAACCGGAACCTGATGAGACAACGCCAAGGGGGATAAAATGGTAGATTCAGAGCAGGAGCTACAAAGGAGAACTTGCTGAATACAGGCGGCATGTTATTTGACATCTCACTGAACCAGGAAATAACTGGATCCATCATTTGATCACTTCATTGATTCTCTCTTTTTGATTTCATGGCCTTCAGGGGCTGGAAAAGCTCTACAAACCAGGATTAGGAGCTGTTGTTTTGCCGTCTATGTCTCACCATTGTACAAATTAGAAAAACACTTTTCTTAGGCCTGTCTTGGAGGGAGGCCAGTGTCTTCAGATGCCAACTCTGCGTTCCTCAGGCAGGGGTAGGATAAAAGCTGAATAAATATTGTCTGTGGTTGGAGCAAGGAGCTCAGCAAGAGGGTCTTTCCACTGTCTCTCTGGGTTTGGCAAGGGGAGAAGCAAATGTGTATGTGCGCAATACAGCATGAGAATGCATCAAGAGGCCTTCAAACACACATAAACACACTGACTACTGTGCACTAATTCCATAACCTATGGAAATTAAACAAGTCATAGATTTAAAACTGATGTTAATGTCAGTGCTTACAATAATACAACCTCTCAAACTTAAATGTAACTGTAAGACAGAGGGGAAAAGTGGCTGAAGGGTTAGGATGTATAAAACAGCATAATGTAATAAGGCCTGCTAAACGTCGGCATGCTAACAACAAGCATTTAGCTTTGAAGCACAGCTGTGCCTAAGTGCAGCCTCACAGAGCTGCTAGCATGGCTGGAGACTCTTGTTAAATTGAATTTAGGTGCCAAATTCAATGCGAGGCAGGTGGTCAAACAGCTTTCACTGATTTCAATGGGCATATCGATGGGAAGGCAACTGATCAAACACACACACATACATACTATACAAACACAGAAATGCATCACTGTTGAGCAGCACTCAGAAGTTTTAAAGACCCACTCTACCATATGTACTTTCTTTTGCAAAGGCATAGCTTTCAAGGACAAGTCAAAATGTCGCCCGTGGGAAATGTAGTGGACCAATTGACCCAAAAGGGACATCAGATCACTTTGTGCTCATGTAACAGCTACACTCTGAATCAATATTTATGTCGGTGCTAAAAAGCCTCCACTATAACAGCAACAACAAGGAACCATGCATTTTACCCCACTTCTCCCTCGACACTGATGATTTCGGCATCAGCACCGTTCATCGAGGGAGTGGAAAGGATGACAGAAGAGCTCCAGAAAAAAGGAAGTAGGAAGGAGGAGGACCGTCCTCTCTCTGTTGCCATAAAGACGGAGGGAAGTTTCTTATGTAAAGCAAGAGAGAGGTTGACCTTCCCAAGTAAATAGAATATGGGCTGTGTCACATAGTTGGCAGACACACAACTATTCCATCAACTCCACCATAAATGGTAACACTCTTAAACTGCACAAAGAGATAAAGCAGACACCCTCTCCTTACTCGTCCAACCCGTCCGCCTCCACTCTTCCCCCCATCACCCATTCTGTTCCTTCACCTCCACGTCCTTACACTGTCATTCCTATCCAACACTCTATTTAATCATCATTTTATCCTTCCATCTCTGTGGCACACACACATTTACATACACCGCACTCGCTGCCCTCAAAGCGAGAACATGTATGCGCCATTTCCCAAGCAGCGCAGAGTGTTTGTGTGTACATATTTGTGAGTGTATGTTTAAGTGATAGGAAGCAGATAGGGGGGCTCTGTTGTGTGTCATGGACAGTCAGGGTTCAGGCGCTATAACTCCATACACACTGATAGCCTGCAGGGTAACAACATGCCTGTGTCTTGAGATAAAAGTAAGTAAGTGAGTAAAATTTATTGAGCTATAGAGTCAATATTCATAGGCTCATGAGTCACAGAGATTTTACCTCTTTGAACTCTGGGTGAAGACTGAAGAAGACCAATGTCTGACACTGCTGCTATACCAAGACATTAAAAGTTATATACAAAATTCTCTTTCCTCTAGACGTCACACTAGAGCATCAGCATCTCAGACAAAAACAATGAGCACTACAGCAGACCAGACTCAATTGACAGTGTCTGACTAACATTATGGAAAGGATTCCTGGAGATATAGACCTTTAGTTTATCCAGAAACAGCTGTACTATCGCTATCACTCACAACAGAAAAATTAAAACTCAACAAAACCATCTTTGCCAGGCTTTCCACTGCTCCAATCACCAACTCTGGTTTGGGTCCAAATAAATCACAGCTTCAGTCGCTGTCCTGAGTTGTACATTTTCAGCATTTTTCATGTCGTTATTCGTTAGTAATGAATTGGCGCTATACAAATAAAATAAAATTTAATTGAATTGAAATTGAATACAGTTGCTTGCTCTCCATTAAAACCTTTGTTTTTTTGACATTGAACACAGTAGGACAGACTTGCCTCAACCTAATTCCTAAAGTGGCAGTTGCACAGTGTACACACTGAGTGCAAAACTCCAGCAGAAAACTTGGCTGGAGGATGTATGGAAACTGAAACCCAGCCTCTCCTCCATGTGGATGCAGTTACAGAGACAAACAGAGGCTTAGTGATCCTTGTGTCTATTGGATGTCGATGGGCTTGCAATCAATGAAGCGTCTCAGTAAAGTTTTCAGCAGCCTGTCTGGAGACTAGAGGGATCCATGCTACCCAAATTAGGAGTTAGGGTTAGGGTAAGAGCACTCAAGACCTTAGGGGAGTGAGATAAGAAGAAAGAAGAAGATGAGGAGAAGAAGGAGGGCATAGCAAGGAAGAAAATAAGGAAAAAAGCAAAAGTGAAAAGAGAGTGAGAAGAACAAAAAGGAGGTGAAAGGGAAGAAGAAAGGAAAAGAGTGGGAGAAGGGAGGCAACACAGGAGGAGAAAACTAAATGACAGTAAAAATAGGAAGGTAAGAAAGGGAGGAGCAAGGGCAGAAGGAGAAGGAGAAGAGACAGGGGAAAGAAGGGTTGGACTTCAGTGGAGAGCAGAAAGCTATAAAAGCTGCTGTGTGTGTGTGTGAGTGTGTGTGTGCTGAGGATGTTTAGCATCTGGATTTGTTTAGAGGCACTGGGTCAGGGACCGAAAGTAACCCCATACAACCTGGCTCTACTACTCCTACCTCACACCTACACACACACAAACAAACACTTGTGTCACTTAACTTTACTTGTGTTATATAACTTTATACAAAATCACACACGCCAATAACACATCTCAGAACTCAAACCCACATTTGGCAAACTGTTTTATGTAAAAACACTCATCTCATCAGAAGAAAACGTTGTGAAACCATGAATTCTTGATACAGTATTTGCGCTAATTAAATGCATTCCTGTGCTGTCACGCACAGGAAGTAAGAGTGATTCTTGTAGCTCAACACAAACTGCCAGGGAAGCAGTCAGGGTAGATTTTGGGCATACAAAGAGCATGTTCCTAGGCTAGCAAATTCCAGACTCTAGAGTCTGGAATTTGCTAGCCTAGGAACAAGA